GGCAGCAGACCCCTTGTGTCTGTAGATGGGTTTCCCAGGCCTTGCCCATTTGAGTCAGGGTAGTAAAGGGAGTTTTGGGTTTGAGCTCAAGGGCTGCTTTGGAAAGAAGGTGAAGGTGAGTACCTCTAAATTTTAAGTTTAAAGCCTAGGGGAACAAAGAAAATGTGTGTATGTCTGTGTGTGAGTGAGAAGACCCTTTTTTCCCAATCACAATTGGATTTTGCTCCTTCTGGTCTTTCCTAGCCGCAGAAAGGATCTGTTTAATTGGCAGAACCTGGAAAGCATGGGGGTTGGTTAGAGCGCAGAACCTTTTGTTAGGGCAAAGAGAGAGGCTGTATGAAAATGGAATGGAATGAGTGAATGAGACAATTGGATTTGGGCAACCAGCTGGTAAGGCCCTTTAAGCAAAGCCCACCTATATGAGGGGCCCGTACTCAAGTGCAAAAAGCATAGGTCCTCAGCAGACTCATAAGTCTGTAAAACTGATAGGCGGTGTGGGAACGGAGGCCGGGTACCTGTGCGCAGGTCCTCCTCGGACAATGTATTTTTGAGGTCCGCAAAACCAAGGGGAGTCCCTAAACTAGAAGGGCCACTTACTCCGTGTAGGGACCGGAGTCCTTCCTGGGCAATTTTTTAGTGCCCAAAAATTGAGGCGGGGCGGCAGGTTTGTTGTCGCTAAGAGTGGCTGGGAAGTGCTGCTGGGAGAAAAAGAAAGGAACCCGACTGAGCAAGTAAGTTTGGACCCCACATCGGAAGGGGAACATGGTAGCTGCAGTTCGAGGGTTGAAATTAGGAAACCAATTAGAGATTTGCTCGTGGTGTGGGATGAGAGGCTGGAAGAAACGAGCTAGGAAAATTTGTAATGAGTGGGCTTTGCTGAAGGATGAAACTGGGAAACCAATTTGGCTAAATAAAGGTACTTAAAAGGGAAAATAAGATAGTGATTCTTTCTTTCTTTCTTCCTTTCTCTTTCTCTCTGCAACCACGTGGTATGTTTAAGATCTGTGCCTTCCCTAATTTGAGCTATTTGAAACTTATGGTGGGAATGACTAGGATGTGTAAACCTAAGACTTCTGTTCTCTTGTCTTTGTGTATATGTTTGTCAAAGTCTTTGTGTGTGAGGGAAATGTGACTATTAACTGTTTAAAATCCAAAGAGAAAAGAATTTTAAATTTTGCTAGAAAGTTTGCTTAATATAAGCCACAAAAAGGAAATACCTCACTCTGTTTGTCTGGCCAACAAACAGAGTGAAGAAAAATTTGTTTGTTTGTTTGTTTTCCTCTTTCTTTCTGTGTACTCTTAAGAACAGCCCAAAGTTAGCAGGAGGGAATGTTTTAAGTTCATCTGCTAGAAAGATTTCACTCTTGCATTTAATAATATATAGGAAAGTTGGAAGGGACCTTGGAGGTCATCTAGTCCAACCCCCTGCTCAGGCAGGAAACCCTATACGAAAGTTATCAAATGCCTTACTGAAGTCCAAGAAAATTATATCCACAGCATTCCTCTAGTCCACTAATTTTGTAATTGGGTCAAAGAATGCAGTACGATGTCTCTAGCATGATCTGTTTTTAACAAACCCATGTTGGCTTTTGGTAATGACTTTGTTTGCCTCTAGGTGTTCGCTGATTCTTGTTTGATTATCTTTTCCAGAATCTTCCCAGGTATTGAGGTCAGGATAATGGGTTAGTAGTTTTCTGGATCTATTTTTTTCCCTTTTTTTGAAAAGGGGAACTATATCAGCTCTTTTCCAGTCCTCTTGTAGTTCCCCTGTGCTCCAGGATCTTTGAAAAATATAGTTCAGTGGTTCTGGGATCACATCTGCCAGTTCCTTGAGAACCTTGGGTTGTAATCCATCTGGTCCTGGTGATTTGAACTCTTCTAGGCTGGATAAGTGCTCACTTACCATTTTCTTGCCTATCTTAACTTGTGTTTCTAATCTATTTTTTTTATGGTACTGTTTTTGATAAGTTGGACTGTTTGCTTTTTTATTATTTTTGACTTTGGTCACAAGCCTTAGTTCATTTTGAGCCTTAGCTTTCTTCACCTCATCTTTGCAGGCTCAGACTATTTGCTAATATTCTGCTAACCCTCTTATCTTTCAATTTATTAGAGAGTTCTTTATGTAGCCATGCTGGTTTCTTGTGAGAGCTATTATTTTTCTTCTTTGTTGGTATTGTGCTAGACTGGGTTATTTTTTAAATTGCCCAAGCTTCTTGTTTTTCCCTTAAGGATTCTCATCCATGGAATCCCTCCCAAGCCCTTTCAAGTTTATTGAAATTAGCTCTCTTAAAGTCCAGGACTCTAGTTTGACTGCGTTCTATTGTCATGTGCTTCCTATGCACCTTAGTTAGCTGACTAGCAAAACATTCATCTTTTTCCTTTTTATATTGATCCAAACACATTCAAGACAGTTTTCATCATTGTTGTGTCCTATTTCTGTAGATATGTAGTTATTTCTTATATAGAGAGAAACTCTGCCTCTTTTATTTGGTCTGTTTCTTTTAAACAATTGAAATCCCTCTAGTTGAGTGTTCCATTTGTGGGTTTTATCCCACCATGTTTCTATAATGACGACTATATTATATTTGCCCTCATCCTTTATGACTGACAACCTATGTGTTAGTCCACTTTGTGTGACACTATTAAAAGCTTGCTGTAAATTTTGATTGCTGGGGACAGGGATGTTCTGTAACTCACTGTCCTTTGTTTAGTTTAAATATTCCTCCAGAAAATCTGTGAGTTTATTGCTAAGTAACTTAGTCCCTTTGATGGATGCAAAGAAAGTTTCTTTTGTACATTGTTTCATTGGAATACCATTTCAAGGTTTCCAAAATTGTCATTTCTGATTTTTTGGTCAATGTCTGTTGTTGGGTTAATCTCATTCTCAATTCTGTCTAAAAGGTGTTAATTTTTGTTCCAGGGTGAATCCAGTGTAAAGTTATTCTATTTTTGTGTAACCTTTGGTGTTTCTATTCTAATTCTGTCAAGTCTATCCTTTTCCTGAAAAAAAAAATGTGTGTCTATCTACAAGAGCCTTTTGAAGTTCAAGTCTGCTTGTGTGGGGAAATAATTTTCTTAAGTTACTTTTCTTATCCTATCACTAATTGTGAAACTACTTTGAAACTTTTCTGAAACAAATAAGCATTTCCCAATCTCTAAAATAATGTGGTCTATTTTAGAATAAATGTTAAAGGCAGATTCTCCTGCCCCTGTAAAGTTGCACACCTTAAAATATTAGGCTTTTAAAATTATTTGGAGCTTTCAGCATTCTCAAGCTGCCCAGCTGCAAATGTTCAAGTTCAAAAGTGAAACATTTCATGTATGTTCTCTTACCAG